TTTTTTTTTTTGTTTTTTTTTTTTTTGTTTGTTTTTTAAATGACATATTGGAATAAAAGAACACTTTGTTAGTTGACATTAACATCTGTGTTAATACACAGATGTAGATGTATCAGTCCGCTGGGAGGTGAGTAAAGCTTTGGAATGTCTAGATACACTGATCAGGTGTGTAAAAAGTTAAAATGGTAATTAAATAGTTTTACACTCTGTAGCTGTTGTTTCGGATCTAAACCAGCAAAACTCGGAGTCAGAGCCGAATACAAATACAGCTTCAGCACATGCAATTACAGGTAAGATACTGACTTCTTATAAATAATCTAACCCTACATGAAAACATTAATCAAATCCTTGAGTTTAAAACAGTATTTTTTTTTTCTTCTTCAGGGGTTGCCACACTGAACTAACTCACATGAAGACGTGGCAATTATTTTTACACTGGATGTCCTTCCTGACACAACAACCACCGAGCTGCACAGCCCTCATGTGGAGCAGAGAGCTGCTATCTAGGGTACCCAGGGAGAAGATGGTGGGGGTTAAGTGCCTTGCTCAAGGGTCCAGAGTGGGGCAAATAAGGTTTGAGGCAGGTGTGGGTGTTTCACCTTTTCATATCCGCCTCATTGCTCATTTTTCATGTATCGTGTTTTTTGGACAGGCACATTTAAAATCCTTGAATTTTCTCCAAAATCATCAGTGAGCTTTATAATCTAGTGTATTAAAACTGGTTGTGCTTACTGACCTCGAACTGATTTTATGTGGTACATGGCCCTCAAAAACATGTCAAAATGAACTTATTTCGCTTAATGCGCCTTATGTATGAAAACAGACCCATTCATTGATATTGCACCTTATAATCTGGTGCGCCTTATAGTCCAAAAAGTACGGTAGATTCATTTCAAGAAGTCATGGCTGAGGGGAAAGAGACAAATTATCTGCTTAAATAAAATATAAACTGAGGTCACTTTATTTTATTTTGACTATCGCTCACTGCAGTCTGTAACTTCTGAGCAACAACATTTTAACTTTCAGATTAAACTTCCAAAAGTTTGCTAAAATAACCCTTTTTACCTTTTGCCAAGCAAAAATAAATAAATAAATTGAAAAAAACAATTAAAAGAAATGACCAGGGCTCAGCTTTGGTAAGCTGTTTGAGCAAAGTGAGCACAAATTAAATTAAGGAGGTAGTAAACCTTCCTGTCCAGTGTTCCTTTAGTGGCCATCATCTAAAGCTGAATCAGAGGAGCTGCGTGAAGCAGAGTGGTGCAACGGTTTATAACTTTAAAGAATGTACATGTTGATCTTATAGCAGTCCCATAAGGCCCAGAAACCACGCTTCCTATAGCGTTCCACTAATCCTTCAGAGGTGACCGTACAGTAAACACATCCGAGCACAGAGGCTGTCTGTCTGCTGCACCGAGGGACTCCATGTTGGTTTGGTGTGACCCCACCCCTGGTAAATACAGGGTTGGAGGTTTCCTCTGTGGATAAAAATACACTCCAAGCACAAGGAAGAAAAAAAAATCTGTCTTGTGCTTCCATTGTGCTCAGGGAGCTAAATGTACGACAGGGAATCATAAATTTCACAAACTTCTCAGGTAGTTAACTAACATCTTAAAGAAGCACACAGGCATGTATGTGTCTGTTAGCAAAATATCTCACAAACCACTTGAATATTCGTAAATAATCAAGGAAGTACAGCTACAACTTATTAAAGTTAGGAACCCACAAAACAACACTTTCTACGCCTCGGTCACTTCTATAGACAGTGACCTAAAACTTGGTGTGGTAGTAGCTGAGACTGATACTCAACACAGATCAACTTTTGGAGTCAACCCAATTCAAGATGGCTGCCAGACCCAAGTGACCTTGGAAAACACAAACATGGCAACGTCAGTCAATTTTAAAGTTATTAAGCTAAATGTTGGTGTGGTAGTAGCTGAGAGTCACTCACAACACATACTGTAAGTGCTACTCATTGCACAAGCTCTTCGCCTAAAACGTTAACATTAACTGTTTGGGTCAACTGCTCTGTCTGTTAGCAAAATATCTCCTAAACCGCTCAACAGAACTTACTGAAGTTTTTGGTAAATGATTAATAATTGTACATTTACAGCTGATTAACCTTTGGAGTCAAGCTGATCCAAGATGGCTACCCCAGCTAATCAACACAAGCTGACACAAAAATGTCTAATTCAGTGAATTTTACAGCTCAAATTTGGTCTGGTAGTAGCTGAGAGTCGTACACAACGCAGCGTCTTGTGGTATCGCATGTGATTATGTATAAAGTTATTTTCAAGCGTTGATTAACTTGACATGAAAGATGATGGGTGGTATGCGTGTCAAATAATGCTTTTTAAAAATTATTATTCATCGTTCAACATACAATATCTTGTAGAGGTACATGGTACAATGCAACATTGGTAAGTGGGAAAGAAAAAGAAACAGGAACATGGGTTTAAGACTAAAAAAGACAAGCACATAATAAGGCAAATAAAAAGGCAATGGAGCAAGTTTTAAAGCAAAAGAAAAGTAGATGCAGTTATTATTATTATTATTTGCATTTCAAACATTTCAGTGAGGAGTAATAAAGCTTAAATTGATTCAGAAAAAAATTAAACCAAAAGGTAGAGTTTTTTCCACTAACAGTAGTGTATATGATATTTAACACGCAGGAAAACAATATTTACCACATCAGATATTTGACTATAAAGATCATCAACATGGTATAGTACACGAGTGATGGTAACCTCCAGGATGTCCTCAATTTTCAGTGACGGACAATTCTTAATGTCTTTCCAGAGTTTATTTGCGAAAGGACTGGGAAAAAAAAGAGATGGTTAAAAGATTCTCCTGGACATTTGCAAAAAGCACAACATTCTAGATCAAATTTAAATATTTTGTGTAAAAAAATCCACCACTGGGTATATTTTGTGAGCAATTTTGAAATGTGTCTCTTTTTAACCTTTGGTGCAACTGGCCATTTGATGTGCTTGGAGAATGCCTTATCTATTATAATCAGATTTGTTGTTACTAGTATACTTTTATTGTAATCATTAAACAATTTGGATTTTAAGGCAGTCACAAGTACAACATTACTGCATTTCTTATCAGTTAAACTACGGTCTCCAATTTTCAGTGTGGGCAGCGTTGAAGTTGAAGTAACATTAAAATATCTTAAGGTGTTCTGGATTAGATGACTGAGAACTACAGGAATAGCTTTGCATATTTTTAAAAATTCACAACAAGTACAGTTCAGATTCAATGTATTGGTAAAATCTCTGATTTAACAAAACACCATTGCTGCCCATTAAATCAGTGACAAATAGAATGCATTTCTCATACAAGTCCATTTTAAAAATAGATTTGTGGGTGAATATCATTTTCCAGAAACGCAAAACTTGTTTGTGGAATTTAGACAGTAAGATAGGGTCAAAGAATGCTAGGCCTTTAATGATTCCTTTTTGTCCCTCTTTTCTTTTAATCTTTATTGATAATAAAAGGGTTGACAAAACAGCAAAATCAACATCGTCATTATAGAACAAAATGAACGACAACAGTAACAGCGAGCACAAAGACGTTTTTGTCCCTATTGGTGTTCCGTATTTCACCACCCATGACGTCATCACTTTGCTGTGACAAAGCAGGCGAGAAGGGGTTCCGCTGGAACAGGTAGGAGTCAAGTTCAGCTGAGAACCAGAAGTTTTCAGTCACCCAGCGGGGTTCCAACAAGTCCATAACAAATACGCTCAGAGTTTTTATTTATTTATTTGTGTATTTGTTGCATTTTTTTTTAACTAAACGAAAGAGTTTTCTATAAGTGAAAGTGATTCTGAAGGTACTGAGTAACTTCCTTGTTTCAGCCACAAGCAAAAGGCGCACCAAGTGTGTCATGACTTCTTTCAAACACGCGACTGGAGGATCAAACTAGGTCAATATTTTGGGTTTTATGTGTTTATTACATTCAAAGTGTTGCTTTACATGTTTGTCTTTGTGAGCCACGATAACTAACATTTGTGCTCTTATTTTAATTTAAAGAAAACAGGACAACTGGGTGCCCTCTCAACACCTCCATTTGTTGAAGATCTGACGATAAAGTTGGAAAATCACATGGAGTACCACTGAGCTTTTACCTGCTGAAGGTTGTTTGACAAGTCGCACCTTAAAATGAGTCACGCTGAAGATCGAGGAACTGGACTGGGCGATGTCTTCGACATTGTGCTGAGGGCCTCATCAGAGCGCCTGTTCAGCGTGGTTCTCCAGCTGCGGGACTCTGCTGAAGACGTCATCGTCCAGGCTCTGTGTCTCATCGTCCTGCAGAGAGGGGAGCAGGCCCTGGAGAAGCTCCAGATGCTGAGGGACAACCCTCTCGCGAAACATCTGGCAGAAAGTGGGCGCGCGAGCGGAGGTGAATTGGGCGACTTCGGGGCTCGCTGTGGACGATTCGGAGAGCGGAGCGCCGAGTGTTTGTCGTCGCTGGCTCGGATATTTAAAGTTTTGTCGGAGCAGAGGCTGTGCGAGGTATCGCTAAGAAATCTGGCTTATAGGAGAGCTCTGTCCAGTGACTGCTTCAAGACGAGCAGCTGCGGCTCGCTGGAATATCACCAGTTCGTAGAGGAAGCTAAAGCTGTGTGCGGGCCTCAGTGTGCGGCGACCTCCGCTGACCTCAAATCCGAATGTGCCTCTGAGCCAAACGTGACCTTAAAAGAGATCCAGGATGAGTCATGGAGCGTTCGTAGCCCTCTGCAGGAGAGTCCCTCAGAGGCCTCGTACCCGTCTCATCTCGAGATAAGTATTCCTCCGACTGTTTCGTTTCAAGGAGGCGAAAGAGCTCCCGAAGCATCAGGAAGCTCCGCGCCGCGCCCGTCCGTTCTTTTAAGTGGACACGAAGCAGAAAGTGAACAGTCTCCGTCACCTGAGCCTGAATACAAATCCAGCGACTCTTCTCTGTTCAGAGCAGACAAAGACTCCAAAACGGATGAAACGTTAAAATTGCTGCGTAGCAATGAGAGTCCAAACCAACCAAGCACCGAGACCTCTACCCTGCCGTCGCCTCAAAACATTTCTCTCCCCAAGATCCCTGTTCTAAAGAACCCTCATGGCCCAGACGAGGAGGAGGAGGAGATCTTTTACACATTTGTTATCCTGCACGCTCCAGAAGATGAAGAACTGGCCGAGCGCATGAAGGAGAAACTCGAAGCGGTCGTGGGCGAAGGTGCAACTTTCTCCGATGGGTTCGCCATCCCTGGGAAGAGCAAGCTGAAATGTGTGGAAGACGCCGTGGAGAACTCCGCCTTCACCTTCCTGCTGCTCACCACCAACTTCAACACCAAAATGCTGGAGGTGGAGACCAACATGGCCCTCATCAACTCCATACACAACGAGCACAAGTTCAACACGGTCATCCCGTTGCTGCCAGAGGACAACTGTATGCCCAGAAAGAGTATCCCCACAGTCCTGCAGACGCTGATGCCACTGGACTTGAAGAAGAGCTTCCAGAGAAAACTCCAAAAGGCGCTTTCCCCTGCCAAGATCCAAACGCAGAGAAGGATCTGGGCCAACGAGCAGGCAGTTAAAAGACTCAACCGTTTAAGGCAGGAAGCTGCCAATCTGAGCCTTTACCCGGAGAAACACCTTCTCAGCTCCAGGATGGTGCTGGATCATGGGGGGGCCAACAGCCTGCAGTGGTCCCCGCCGCCCAACATTCATATTGAAAATGCAAAGTACATCATGATCGGTAATGACTCGACGATGACTGTGGATTTGGGTGCAAATGCAAATAAAGATGGATCAATTTAGACGGAGGGGCAACAATTAAAATGTGCATTTTGTGATATCCTGAATCAGGTTTTTAAAAAATATCCAGTTTTCTGAACACTAAAATGACAACTTTGGGGTGTTCTGTGCAAATGTTTCTGTTGGACTTAAACTTGGAGGGGGGAATTCAATAAAATAAATAAAAACAAGTATGCACAAAACAAAATAAAAAAGTAATTAATGAGCAGGTTAGAGCTCCTGCACTTTATATGTGGAAGACGACTGCCCCCTACTGGTAGAAATCTGGATTACACGCAGGTTTCCTCAGCTGTAAGAACAGGCTGCGGCCAGCAGGGGGTGCTGCTGATACACTCTACAATTCCTGCTCAGACATGAAATACAGCTTCAAACATGTTTTTAGGAATAAAAAATATTTAATAGATTATATTTGAATTGAATGATTACACTATGAGAGTCTGTGGAAGTTCTGACACTGATGTAATATTCAAGTCTGACCCAGAAATGACTAAATTATCCGCTGTGGTGATCAAGTTTCTTGTAATTAAAACTATTTTTAAATTAAAAGCCTACACTAAGATGATCCCAAATTAGATGGGACAGAGACAGAACAGTTCTGATTAGCTTTAAGTTGTGTTTTGCATACTTTCATGTGATATTGCGAGCTTATGTGTTGGTGCTTAAAGTACATGTTGACATCTCATTTTAGACTTTTTTTTTTTTTTAAAACAAAGCTTCAGGACTCTATATTGGAAAATAAATCTGTGTATTCTTATTTGTTTGAGTAGAATAAATTTTTGGAGCAGAACTCATCATCCTAAAAATCATTCTTAAAAAGGAAACTGGGTGCTTATGATAGATCCAAATACTCCAAAGGATCTTTAACGTTCAGGTTTTTTCTTCCAGATATGTGTTTATTCACAGATCTCTGATGGAGATGAGAAAGATGTTCTCAAATTCACGACCTGTCAATCATTTCCAAACCTTTGGATGTTTGACTCGTTCAATAGACTGAAGACTTCTTTTAAAGCCATTTTAAAGGTCTTCTCAATTTGTTTTAGCCTCAGAAACTTGTGACTCAGTCAGTTCAAATACAAAAATATTAGAAGTATTTTAGAACATCTTTGATGCTCATCTGAAGACACCCACTGCTGGTTTTTCATAATCCACAGCAGAGCCCTGACCCTAACTTTTGATTCCACTGTTTGACTCCATATACTCTGTCCTTTCAGGACAAAAAGACCGGACCTAAACCTGGACGTTTCATGGTCTGCAGCAACATACAGTGTGAGGAATAACAATAATTTTGGCGGTTGTGCTTAAACCTGGCTTTATTTACTATTTTACCCCATTTGTATTATTTTAGTCACTCATAAATCAAAGCTGTCAGCTCATTCTGGAAATGGGTGCTGTGACATTAAAGTATATAGATTAACTCTCTTTATTCCTTCAGAAACACATCATGATCCCTTCAGTTGATTCAACATCGCTCTCTTAGAAATCTGCTTCAGTTGCATTACTTTTGTCCTCTTATTTTGGCTTATAGCTTAGCTAATTTATTGTTTAGCTTGAGTTTTGGTACATTTAACCTTTAGCTGGCATTTTTCCAAGTTGAGCTATGAGCCTTTTGCCACTTTTAGCTTATTTTAGGTAGCCTTTTGGTCCTTTTTGGTTTTAGCCCATATTGTGTTAGCTTTTAGCTACTTTTTGCTCACAATTTGCTTAGCTAGTGTTTTTCTAGAATACACTTAGCTACCCTTTTGCTATTTTAGCTTTAAGACAGAAGTGTGTTACTTTTAGCTAGACTTTTGCTATAAACTTTTAGTTCATTTTGCTACGTTTGGTGTCACATTTTGCTTTTGGCTGAAGTTTTGCTCAGTTCTGTTATGCTTCAGGATTTTAACTTGCATTTTGCTTTACTTCGTTTTTATCGAGTGTCTTACTTCTTTTAGCTTTAAAAACTCATTTTCAGCTGCCTCAGCAGAGTCAACCAGCACAATGAATTTAATCAGGAAGTACTCTTGCATGAATATATATTTTGTTATATATATTATATATACCTCCTAAATGTATTGATGGATAGACTTCTTTTAGACAATTCTTGTCAAGATATAAGCCAAACCAAATCACTACAAAGTTTAAGGAGCATTTAAAGCAACAGCTTCCACATTTCAGGGAGTTTCTGTGCCTTGTTCCCTGGATTTCCTTAATTTCTTTGTAAATTGTTGCCAAACCTTAAAATATATGTATATTTCTAACAACATATATTAAATCACAGCGTTAGATGAGTTTCAGGCCCTGGTGCTGGGGCTCAGATCCTGATTGTGGCTCACTCCTGTCAGGATTCAAAAAGGCTGGAGTGGGTGGATCGCGCATGCGCAGTTCGCTCTATCCTCAGTGCGGCAGGAAAATCGCAGAGGAGCGGAGAGGAAAACAGTTAGGAGAAGGAGGAAAAAGAAGAACATGGAGCCGAGCAGCTGCCTTCTTCTGACTGGGGGGCCTTCCTCCGGGCCTGGACTGTAGGTCTCCGTCCTGTCGGTCAGCCTGCGTGTCAAGATGTCCGAAAATAGAGGAAATCTGGAAAAACCGCCCTGCTGGAACAGAAGGACATAAAACTAAAGATGGTGCTCATTTAACCAAAGCTGAACCAAACTTTGAACCATTTATTCATCTTCCCTCCTGGTAGTATTCTTATTTTTTTTATATATTTTCAGCAGAAGTGAGGATTTTTCTTCATATATATATATTTAACTGCACGGAATTCCTCTGGACGCGATGTCATCCGCATTCAGGAGGAGGTGCTCGGTCTGAGCGAGCCTCCGCGCGCGCGCGCGCACGCACGCCAACGATGGGAGATGCGGCAGACGACAGAGGGATGAGACCAACCTTCATCGTGCCCGCCATCAGGAGCTTCGAGCTCTACGACTTCAGCAGAGCCAAGACCTCCTGCAGCCTGACGTGGCTGGTGGCCAAGGCCTTCGGCTCGGGTATGGATCACACGCACACGCACATGCACACGTGTGATCATAAAGGTGGCTGGCAGGGTTAGTTATTAACCGGCTATAAAAGATCTATAAGGAGTTTTATTTGGAAAAAAAAAAAAAACCCTCTGTCAGTCATGACTTGAATGTGTTTGTTTTCTGTGTCTGACAGGCCGAACATCACATTTACACACACATGACTCGTTTTCACATCACTTCATCATGTGTGTGGTTTAAGTTTGTGCTGCTAATGATTCCCTGCAGCAGGAGCCAGGTGCAACTCTGAGAACAGCTCCTGTACCGGATCAACAGACGCAATAACCCCTGCTTTCTGCACCTAAGCCTGATTAACCGTTTGAGAAAATGCTTCAAATTTGATTGACCAACACTTTAAATGAGGACATGATGTAAGGGAGCTGGCGTAGTTTCATGCGTGATTAACCCTCCTGCTGTGCTTGTGTCAAATGACTCATAAGGCCTCCGTTTTTAAATCGAGGTTATTTTGATCTCAGGGCAGCAGGAGACTTGAGTACATGAAGAAAGTTGGACGCAGTGAAATACCTATTTTCAGCATTTCGTTTCACGTTTTAACACCCGAAATAAAGTCAAAGAAGGCGAAACAATCACATCTGTCTTGTTTGGAGCAAATGATTCCATCAAAAATATTCAAAAATAAAGATTTCACGGGGATTTGCTTATCGCCCGCCATCTTCAATGTTCATCACCTTCAAATGTTTTGTCGATGGAGTTAGAGCCATTTAAATCTTGAAAATGTTATCTGTCACGAGCTTACATATTTGTTAGCACTCAGAATACGGTATCTTTCGGATTATAAAGCGCACTGGATTATAAGGCACATTATCAATGAACGGGTCTGTTTTCATACATAAGGCGCACCGGATTTTGAGGCTCACTCACTGTGGATTCTTGAGAAAATCAAAGGATTTTATAAATGCGCCTTATAGTCCGAAAAATACGGTGTGCGCTGTGAACGACTCTCAGCTACCTCCACACCAAACTCTGTGAAATTCACCGAGGTGTAGCCTTTTGTGTAATCTGACGAACTGGGTTGACTCCAAAAGTCAGTCGGGTGTAGGCGTCCTTCCAGTGACTTTCTGAAAGTTTCATGAAAAAAAATTGGTCAGTGATGTAAGAGATATTTTGCTAACAGTGCCAACACAGAGACACGGACAAAAATAATATAGCTTCATCTGAGTTTCCTTCTCAATCCCAAACTGATCACTTCATTGATTTATTGTTTAGATTCTCTCGTCACTGTCGGTGGTTAGAACGCCGCCGCGTCCTGACGACTGCGCGTTTGGCGTCATAAAGATTAAAACATATTTTCTGAGTCCAGAGATTGGTTTTTAAGCCTCACCTTCGCAGACGTTTCTCTAAATCAGAGCGCGACGTTAGAGTTCCCTGTTCATTGATCCCAGCCAGGCTGCAGTGTTGTTTCTGCCTCAGAGAGCATGAAACTGTGGCAGGAGGCTGCACGTCTTGTTTCTGTGCACGGCTGTTTTTGTCCCAGCCCTCCGCTGACACAGTTTCAGCTCCCGGCACGACCGAGAGAACTGTGGCCCGATTCTACGCAGTCCTCAGAGCCTTGTCTGGCCCAGATAAGACCAGCGGGCTCGAATCTGCTCGGACGCAACAGTTTGTTCCATTGGCCCAGAGTTTGTGCGGGGGGGGGGGGGGGGGGGGGTGTTATAGTTTTCCTTAGCGAGCAACGTTTCTTTACACACAGCGTCATGCAGCAGCAGTTAGACATAGAAGAAGAAGAGGGAAAGAGTTTCAAAGAAATTAGTTTATACAAACTGATGCTTGATACAGAGTTTTGTATTTTAAACAAGTAAAACCCTAGAAATATGCCCCATGTGCCTTGTATGTTTTTCTTCTTTCAGGTTTTAACAAATAATCAGTTAATTATTACTTGGAAATACACAAAGAGAGGGTTTGATTTTTATCCAACATTTTTCAGTCAGGTCATCTGGACAGTTTCTTTTTTTGTGTGCTGAAACGTTTCACCTTCAATCCAGAAGGCTTCATCAGTCAAGGAAACACAAATCAAAACTGATTCTTCCGCCAACAGCTTACTCCAAAGTGGAACAAACCAGTTATGTTGGTGATAAGGTGGTCTCTTTGGAACGCCCCCGCCTCTATTGCTGGCCCTCTTCCTTGTTGACAGTCATGTCAAACTGGTTGAAAACAACAAAGTCCATGCTCAGTAATCCAGGTATACAATCCAACATTTTTCAGTCAGGTCATCTGGACAATGAATGATGAACTGAATTTATGAAATGATGAAGCCTTCCGGATCAAAGGTGAAACGTTTCAGCACAAAAAAAGAAACTGTCCAGATGACCTGACTGAAAAATGTTGGATTGTATACCTGGATTATTGAGCATGGACTTTGTTGCTTTGATTTTTATTTTTGAATGTCTGATTTGCAGGGGTGGAAGTAACAAATTACAAATACTCACATTAGTGTAATTAAGTAGATTTTTTGAGTACTTGCACTTTTATGAGTATTTCTTTCAAGTGTGTAATTTTACTCATACTTACGTACAATTTAGATCATGTAATCTACTTCGCTACTTTTAACATCAGAAGTCGCTACTGAATGCAGCTGCAATTTGAATTAATGTTCAAACCGTTCATCTGGATCTTTGTAACCAACAAGGCTCAGAGCGTGAACGCGCCGATTACCTATGATGTAAGCAAAGGACAACTCCGTAGAGTAGAGAGTCATTTATGGACCGAAGATTTGGAGAAAAAGACAAAATGGAGACAGAGGACAACAACAGAGAAAATGACGAGGTAAAGGCTGAGGACGAGTGTCCGTGGTCGCACCTGGAGAAATTTTTCATGAACAGAGGACGAAAAGGAAACAGGTCCAGATGTAAACTTTGTTTGATCTCTACGGTGACAGCAGCTTACAAGACTTCAGCATCTAATCTCAAAAAACATATTGCGGTATACGAGGTTTTACAGCTACCTGTATGATGTAGATTTTTTTTATTGTTTGTATGTGCGGGTTATTAGTTTGGCTAAGGATGCAAAGATCTTAAATATTGTCACTGCCATCAGTTTGCCTGGTACTAAAATAAGACGGAGCTGCTGCGCGTCTGAGAAATGTACTTTGAATGTAGCGATTATATACAGTAAATCAAACTGAATGACTTCTACTGCAACACAATAAAACATGAGTTGGTTAAAAAGTAATTAATACTCTGAGTAGTTTTTGAGAAGAGTACTTTGTACTTTTACTTAAGTATTTTTTTTTTATAACACCAGTACTTTTACGTGTAATTGAGTACAATTTAAGCAGTGTAACAGTACTTGTACGTGAGTACGAATTTTTAGTACTCTTTCCACCTCTGCTGATTTGTGTAGTTATCCTTCCGTAATGTGTTCAGGTACAAAGCAGTCACTTGGAATCACGTCTCCGCCGGTGTGTAGATTAGATTTGATGCTACAAAAAATGTACCTTGGATGAACTGCAGGGGAGTCCGTTTCAGTTTAAATGGACAGGTCAAGATGTTATAATGTAATGTGAATTTTTCAATCAGCCTTGATGGAGCTCTGCAGAAACTGTAAGTGTTTTTAAATCACAGCCTGTCACTGGGCTGTAAATCAATAATCTGAGTTGTCGTTCAGACGGAGTTCTTGCAGATTTAGGTATGAGACCTGGATCTTGCTAGAGGTGACACTGATTGTACTTGCATCATACCACAAGTCGTTACCACCAGCTTTTCTGTCCAGTGGTGTAGTCTACGTGATACGCGAGTATACGAAGTATATCCACTAGACAATCTTGAGAATTTCAGTATTCCCACTTAAAAGTGCCCAATGATACATGACATATCATTAGGCACGCGCCATTGATACGTTAAATGGCAGTTAAACACTTCCGTAACAATCTATTGGTATGCAGCGCTTGTTTATTGCATTCACTTATCCAGCAAATTATTGTATATCTAATACTTCTGTAGTACTTACTTGACCATGTTTTGCTTTGCTACAGTTTTATAAATTCTATAACAAGTTTTTAATACAAAGCCAACTGTTGTACAAAGTTTGTTGTTCATTTATTCAAATATAAGCATCAGAGAAATTTGGAAATGTTCAATATGCTCAAGTACATTGTACCAACCAGTGTACTTCGATTTCTAAGCACGGTATACTGACCGACCACGTAAAAGTTAGTTTTATGTTGGACATTCGCGATCCGTGGCTTCAACGGTGTCCAGCGTCCAATGTAAAACTAACTGTGGTATACCCACTACAAAAATGTAGACTACACAACTACTCTCTATACCAGCTGGTGCTCTTAAATAGATATCAGACCAAGTTTAATTCTCAGTGAGTCTAGGAACGTTACATGAAACTATCTGAACCCCTTAACTATAAAAAGTGCTGTTTGTGGCTGCAGCAGTCGGCTGTTTTCGATAGAGTGAAAACCCTCGACACGCGATCTGTTGAGGATGGCACTCAGTGAACGCCTGCAGCAGCTGAAACATGCATCCCTGTAAGCAAAACGTGTTGATGCAGGTTTCAATGTGAACAAAAAACAGAAGCTTATTTGCACTATCACCTTTTTTATTTAAGGAAACTTTTGTAAGTACATGGCAGCCGAGTTCATCAGTTGCTATTAGGAAGCCAAATGGTTTACCCTTTATCTGACTTTTGAGTCCTTCAGTGGCTTTTATTAAAGTGGTGATTGTGGGAAATTGAGCAAAGAAGAATGAAATGACATGCAGCAAAGTACAGTTCAAACAAATGTTTGAACTGCCCTCAGGACCTGGCCACCCTTACAAACAGATCTCAGTGGGATTTGCCTGGTTAAATAAAGCTTAATAATAATTTAAACAAAAATTTGACCTGCGTACTTGAGGGTACTTCATTAAAAAGTTGAGCTGACTCAGAAATACTCAGAAAAATAAACATTTCTGGGTGTCAAACTTAAGGACTCTTTAAAGTAATTCAGAGCTGATATGAATATT